AAACAAAGCATACAAAGAGATTTCTGACTGTTTCACCGCAATTTTTATTCCTTTTTTACCAAAATTCTAAATAATAGCGTCATGAGAAAAAAAATTTAGTGGTTCTGCTTCTCGTGTATAAATATATTTTATACAGACGTAGGAGTGGCAGGTGACTCATTTTTGTTTTTTTCTATACTTTGATTCAGAAAAGAAAAAAAGAAAAGAATTATTATCCTCTCCGCGTAGAAAATGAAGTGGATTTTAAAAATGATTATCCACTTTGCTTCTATATAATTCACTAATCATTAGAGACGCCCGTACGCCACTTTTCTTTCGAGTGTACAAATAATGTTTTAAGAAGTTCGATAAAAACTAAGGTGTTGAATAAAAAAGTAGAACGAAAACTATGGTGTGCCAGAATTTGACGTCAGTTCTCTTTGACACCTTACAAAACGTCTTCTGTTTCTGAAACTGCTGTTCAAAAAGAATGTTTCTGTTTGTGGTCAGGTGGTCGAAAATATATGGAGGATACGTATGCCATTGCTTTACAACGTCTGAATTCAAATGATAAAGAAAGTCCAATATCATTAGCATATTTTGGAATATTTGATGGGCACGGTGGAAAAGAAGCTGCAGAATTTGCTCGACAAAATTTATGTCAACGAATATTGGAACAAGATGATTTTTGGGCAAGTTCATCGTCAAACGTCACAAATGGTGAGATTAGTTCAGAAGAAACAATGGTTACATCAGAAAAAGAAGTCGATGATAAAATTTTAAGTGCCATAAGAAAAGGATTTTTACAATGTCATAGTGATATGTGGAATGATTTGCCAAAGTGGATAAAAACATCGTCCGGTTTACCTAGTACATCAGGTAAGAAAAAAGAATAGATCTCCGAATGATTAAAGAAGAACGTTTCTCAAAACGATGACTATCCAAAACCGCAATTTTGTTTTCTTACTACTATCTATAATACTCTTTTGTTTATTTAGGTTGTACGGCGAGTGTTGTGTTTGTTCGTGGAAATAAACTCTACATTGGTCATGTGGGAGATTCAGCTATTGTGTTGGGTGTTGGTGACTCATTATATCAACCTTGGGAATGTGTGCGTTTAACAAAAGATCACAAACCAGAAGATCCATCAGAATTAAAACGTATTCGAGATAGTGGTGGAAATGTTTTATGTAAAACCGGCGTTCATCGAGTTGTTTGGAATCGACCGAAAGTTTCACACAGTCATAATCATCGTCACTCGCAGCATTCACATCATTATTCTCATAGAACATCCGCAATAAATTCTCAGTCGATGACAAATGAATATGAACAAATACCATTTCTAGGTAAATATTTAGGATGTAAATCAGAATATACATTTATGCTCTGAAACTTGAGGTCATTCTCACGGTTTCCGATTGTTCTTAGGGATAGGAGGGGCTAAAAATTTGCTGGCGAAAAAAAGTTTTGGAAATTTTTTTGGCAGAAAGCTGCTGGTGGAAAAACGTCGAAAATTTTGCCAGAAAACCCAAAAACTTTTTTAGGGACCAGCACCCCCCTGATCGGGAACCCTGGTCATTCTAGTCTGAATTTATTCAAATACTAGCGTCAGATGGCGTAGTAATGATCTATTTGTTATTAGATGTTTTGATCCTTTAGATAACCTATTTTGCTTTGATTTTAATGTTAATCATTTTTTTTTTCTGTAAATTTTAGCTGTATCACGTGCATTAGGTGATTTATGGTCTCTTAATAGCCGAACAAATATGTACAGTGTTTCACCTGAACCTGAATTAACTGTAATCGAAATAAATCCATTCAAACATCGTTGCCTAATATTAGCTTCAGACGGTTTATGGAATATGATGACACCGGAAGATGCCGTAGAAATTGTGCGATCATGTGATGTCAAAACAGAAGAAATGATTTTGAAAGCAGAGGTAAAATATGTCGGTAGATAAATCATGATGGAGGAAGGTTAAGTTTGTTTTTTGGAAATAGAAGGTTGAAAATAGATATAAAAAGCTATCATTTATTTGAATTACCGTGACTTTATTATAATTCTACATGGCTTAAATTGCATTTCTAGGATGATGATCAACGTCCATTTCGTAATCCGTCACATGAACTTGTTCAAAAATCGTTAACCCGTTGGCGTGAACGTATGTTAAGAGCGGATAATGTTACCTGTATCACTGTGATGCTTGATCAACCTGGTCCACCATTCAGCGATTGTATCGTTCTGAAAAAGAAACAACATAATTTTGGTTCTACTTCATCTTGTATGTAAATTACTATAATGAGTATATATTGTAAGTACTAATGTCAAAAATTTTGTGTTTTTATTTATATTTAGCGACAACGTCTATTTATTCTGATGATACTATCGATATGGACAATGGAACAGTTTTTTCTACTCCTCCAAAACATGCAAATGATAAACCTGTTTTACATCGAACAACATCTAAACACAATGAAAATATTTTAACACCAATATCAAATGGACAACAATCATCAACAACACCATTAAGAGTACGTAGAAGAGGAAAAAATAATTTTTTTTCAAAGTAGACGTTTTGAATTGATTCTGATGCCTGACAGGATCACATCGCCAAATTTAATTTTCAGATGTTAAAGAGAAAGCATTTTATAGGACAGGTTCTGATTTGATTCTACTTTGTCAAGTAAGTTGGTCTTCAGATACATTCAGATATCAATGAGATATATTACCTACTATCTATTTCAAAATATTAAGACCACGACATATCCCCTTTTTTCTGCCAAACAAATAACGTGTACCATCAATAATAGTAGTAGTATTCTTTTATCAATGTCACATGCTCCTATCACGCTTTTTACCCGTATATAATGACATCGGAAAACAAGTAAGCTTGAATCAAACGTGACCCGATAAAAAGGATATTTACGGGTTATTTCTCAACATCAAAGTATGGTTGCGCAATCCTCTCTTGCAAACCCAAACGTCACTAAATTTGAGTATTTTATGAATGTATCGAATCAGAAGATGCTCTTGTGATAGAAGTGGTTGAAAGTTGACTGAATAACTCTACCGTCCACTGCTGTTGCTCTTCCGGCATATAATAAATATTTTCGATTCTATAACCTTGACAATCATGTTAAAGAACTTGAAAAATCGATTTTAGAAACTGTTAGTACTGTAATACCTCATTAAATAATATGAGTTAGAAGTGGAGATCAGCCTTGGTTTTCGGATAAGTTGCGTACACTTTTACAGAAAAGAAATCGAGCATATTGTAAATGCGTTAAAATTAAATCGACTGGCAGTCATCATAACCATTTTTTGTTAGTCGCAGAATTTGAACAATTGAGTAAAGAATCTAAACCAGATTATATTGAGCGCATCAACAATACTCAATTAAACGAAAACAACGGTGGAGTTAGCTTCTCGTTAGGGAGAAAAAGTTCAGTTCCACCTATAAAAAACTTAACAGGAAATTGGTTAAATGAAGACTGTCAAAAGATAATTGCATTAAATTCATACAAAAATCCGTGCCCAAACCGATAATGCATGCTAAATCGCTTTCTTCAATTACTGTGCCTCCTGGTGAAGTAGATAATATGTTGAAGTGTCTTGGTGTAAACAAGGCTAGTTAACTGCTAGATCACTAAAAGAATCAGCGCTTATAACATCCACTTATTTAACTCAGATAATCAATCAGTCTTTTAACACGGGATTTACCCAGAATCTTTCAAGACAGGATGTGTAAATGTGTTGTTTAAGGACTGTGATGCTTCACATCCACCCAGCTCCAGACCAATCACACTTTTGCTAATTGTAAGCAAAGTGTTTGAGAGGGTAGTGCATAAAACTTTATCCCAGTATTTCCATAAAAACAACTGTCTTCCATGCAGTATACAAAAAAAACTTGTCTTCCATGCAGTCCGGATTTAAAAGAGTTGATTCAACTGTAAATCAACTGATAGATCTCGTTGATACTATTCATCTAGTTAATAATCAAATTTAGTCACTCGTGCTGCTTTTTTTGACTTCTCCGAAGCTTTCGATCGTGTGTGGATTAGGGCACTGCTGTATAAGTTTGAGTGTAGGCCTGCAAAAGTTCAGCGTTCTCTTTGAACGTAACGCTAAAGCACGTTGGCGTTCCTTGAACGTGAACGCTAAACATGACGCTTTTTGAAGGTGAACGCGAATGTTCTGGTGAACGTTAACCTTATTTTATATGAACGGTGTTGATCTTGTGTGGAATGAATAGTATTACAAAACGTTATATACCAATTTCACCTAGTAGTATACCAAGTGAAACAGGTTTCTCCATTACCAGCTATATTTAGTGAAAAATGAACGCTCGTTTGTCCCAAATGGGTTACGATAATAAAGGAAAACGTATGTAGTTACTGTAATAGTTTTGATCAAGAAACTTCGGTTCCAGTGCTGGAAAAACTAGTCTTTTGGTCAGGAAATCCATGATCTGTTCTTGGAAGAATCAATGTCTTGACCAGAGAATTAAGGGGTATCCTTTTTACACTGTAATAATCTGATCACTGCCCTGAGCAGACCATCTGATCCTTCACTAGAGTTTCTATTGATTAGATAAGATCAAGCACAAATATATATGTTCTTACTACAGTACAAGAACAGAAGTTTATATTTACTTCAGAAGATAGAAACACCGTTCGTATAAAAAAAGCTCATGTCCGCCAGTGCTTTAACATTCAAACGTATTTAGCGTTCATGTTTAAGGAACGCGAACGTGCTTTGTGGCTCACGTTCAAGGAACGAAACGTGAACTTTTGTAGACATAGTCGAATGTAAGGGAGTTAAGGGTTCGTTGCTATAGTGGTTTCATAGTTACTTAACCGATAGGAAGATCATAACTGTGATTAATGGGAAAGAGTCTAGTGCGCTGCCGATAAGTCGAGGTGTACCGTAAGGCTCCGTGTTATGCCTCTTACTTTTCGTAGCGTATATTGATGATATTGACTCAGTTTAACGTCGATCGCGAGGCTTTTTGTTGATGATACAGTGGTACATCATTCTCAAAGAACGTGGATGTACTTACAGGTGTATTAAATGAAGATCTAAAAAATGTCTACGAATGGACTGTTGCTTTGGAGATAGATGCCTTTGAACGAAAATAAATGCGAAAGTAAGATTCTTAATCAGAAACGAAACACATTTACGCCCAATCTTCTTATTGGTTTAAGCTTTAATCTTGAACCAGAACGAAATCGAGAATATAAATTCCCATTACATCATTCTGAAACTTAAACTATCAAAACACAAAATCAATCCTTGCACGAAGCTAGGATCGAACACACGAA